TTCCAAGGTACAGCTGTATTCTGAAATTCTTCTCTGCAAAAGGACCCTCATTGCAATTTAATAGGAGGCTTTCCATTTTTTTCAGAGGGCTTTTGATCAGGCTCTAGATGTTTGCTAGTTATAAATATTCATATTGTAACTTCCTCAAAGCAGGAACTTGGCTACTGTGTTTCCCTGAAATTCTCCAGGAATGCTTATGATGCTGTACAAATTATAATTATGTTGATAATTATAAACAAATTGCAGCACAAACATAGTAAATGTGACACACTTCAAAAAAGATTTCAACAGGTCATCATTTCACAATCCCCGGTAACCCATAAATAGGGACTCTCCATCTCCTGTCTATCTCGCAGTCTCTTCTCTCCACCAACGTTGAGTTTCCAGCCAAACTTCATCCATGAAGATTCTCTACCTGCTCTTTGCTGTCTTTTTCCTGGTGCTGCAAAGCACTCCAGGTAAGATCTTAATGAAATGAAGGGAGAATATAGAAGAACAATTGTGAGTCTGTATTAAGATTTCTAAAAATTGTGTATCATAATTTTTCCAGGTTTTTTTTTTTTTCAAAAGAGTTGCATGGTTTTCAGCAGATTCTTCACATTTCACTGGAGAATAGTCCTGCGGTGAGAAAGTTGTCTTTAATTTTCCTATTAAGATCCAGTCAGATTGGCTGAACTATGACCTATAATACTATCACCAACGTTCTACCTAGTGGAGTCCAACAGGGATTGGTTCTTGCCACGACACTAATTAAACTTTTTATAAAGGACCTGAAAAAAAATCAACATACAATCATCACCTATAAAGTTAGCAAGTGACAAATTTAAGGGACAGGGCAGTCATAGAGAGGGATTTGGATCACTTGGTAAACTGGGAACAAGTTAACAATCATACAGCTAAATCTAAATGTATGGATCTAGGAACAAAGAAGGTTGGCCACAGTTAAAGGATGAGGAACTCCATCCTGGGAAGCAGAGACACTGAAAAAAGATTTGGGGGTTGTGGATTGGTAATCAGCTGAAAGTTTCTAAAAGGGTTAATACAAAGCTTGGATGCAGAAAGAGGGAAATCTTGAGTAGGATTAGAGAGATTATTTTACCTCTCTATTTCGCATCATCAGATGTGACCACATCTTGAGTACTGTTTCCAGTTCTGGTGTCCACACTTCAGGTAGAATGTTGATCAGTTGCATAGGGGTCAGGGAAAAGCCACAGGAATGATGAAAGGGTTAAAAAATATGCCGTATAGTGATAGACTCAGAAAATTCAATCTCTTTATCTTAACAAAGAAAATGTTAAGGGCTGACTTGATCACAATTTCTAAGTACATGTATGATGAAAAATATTTAATAATGGGCTCTTCAAACAAGAAAATAAAGGTATTTTGTGATCTAGTGATTGGAAGTTGAAGCTAAACAAATTCAGTCTGGAAACAAGATGTAAATTGTTAAGAGTGAAAGTAATTAACAATTGGAACAATTTACCAAAGTATTTTCCATCCTGGACAGTTTTTAAATCAAGAAATATTGGGAGGGGATGATTCCTAGAAGATAGCCTCTAAGAAATATTTTGGGGTAGTCCCTTCAGACTAGATGATCACAAAAGTAATTCAGTACCAGGCAAACTGGTTGAAACTATAGTAAAAAACAGATTTATCAGACACATAGATGAATACAATGAGCTGGGGAAGAGCCAACATGGTTTTTGCAAAGGGAAATCATGACTCACTAATCTATTAGAATTCTTTGAGGGGGTAAACAAACGTGGACATGGGTGATCCAGTGGATATAGTGTAATTAGACTTTCAGAAAGCCTTTGACAAGGTCCCACACCAAAGGCTCTGAAGCAAAATAAGCATTCATGGGATAAGAGGGATTGTGCTCTCATGGATTGGTAACTGGCTAAAAGATAGGAAACAAAGGGTAGGAATAAATGGTCAGTTTTCAGAATGGAGAGAGGTAAATAGTGGTGTCCCCCATCTGTCAGTACTGGGACCAGTGCTGTTCAAAATATTCATAAGTGATCAGGAAAAAGGGGTAAAGAGTAGATGATACAAAATTACTCAAAGATAGTGAAGTCCAAAGCAGAGTGCGAAAAGTTACAATGGAATCTCATAAATCTAGGTGACTGGGCAACAAAATGGCAGACGAAATTCAATGTTGATAGATGAAAAGTAATGCACTTTGGAAAACATAATCCCAACTATACCTCTAAAAAGATTGGGTCTAAATTAGCTTTTACCACTCAAAAAGGAGATCTTGGAATCATTGTGGAGAGTTCCCTGAAACATCTGTTCAACGCACAGCGGCACTAACAGAAAATACTAAAAGAATGTTAGGAACCATTAGGAAAGGGATAGCTAATAAGACCGAAAATATCATGATGGCTTTTTATAAATCCATGGTGATTAAATGTTGTGTGCAGATGCTGAATGTTGTGTGCAGATGTGGTCGCCCCATCTCAAAAAAGATATATTAGTATTGGAAAAGTTACAGACAATGGCAACTAAAATGATTAGGGGTATGAAACAGCTTCCGTATGAGGAGAGATTAAAAAGACTGGACATTTTCAGCTTGTGTCCTCTTCTTCTGGCCTAACCCAATGAAAATACCCTTTGTTCTAGGGGATTCAAGTGTTTGGATTGAAGAGTTTGGGAACCTTCACTTGAGATAGCAGGCTCTGTGCATATCCTTTTCCTTTGATGAAATGACAGACTTTCTATGAGCTTGTATTGTGCAGGAGGGTACTGATCAGTACAAGATGCACATTTCTGGGGGACGAGGCTGACACTGGGAATTGGCTGGTGTTGCTCTGCGGGATAATTCAGGAGTGGCTTGCTGGAAGTTTTCCTCTAATTCAGGTGGGAGTGACTTTCCGTGCTAGGGGCTGTGCATGAGTAGGACAGAAGTGGTTGCTTTCACAGTGGAGCAGTGTAGGAGGCACTGCAGGTTGGAGACCTGAGGGAATACGGCTGTTGAATGGTCCAGATTGTACCCTGGGGAATGTCACCGTGGATACTTTAAGAAAAGCAGAGCTAAAATCTAGTTTAAAATAGTCTAATATTAATATCCTAAAGGACATTTGGGACACATGCTCATAAGGACCAGCCTGTCTAAAATGTCTAAGCCTGGTAATTGGTCATTGAGTCAGTATTGCCAAGTGCTGAGTCTTCACAAGAATGTCTGTGCCGAGTCTCACTGACAATCAGGCGTTCTGACTGCAGGGACTTGTTTAAACCCTTCTCTTTCTAAAAGTACCAGCCACCCAACCCAGTGCTGAGCTGGTTCAACCCTGCTCGGCCAATCAGCATTTAGATACTGCCTAGTACATCAGTGTTTGGAATCAGAAAGAGTCAAAACCAGGGCAGGAAAACCACTTCCCCGCTCTTAGAAGTTGGTGGTGCAGACAGCTGCCTGCTTTCCATCCTGTACAGGTGTGGGGCTGGGAAGGACTCCCATGCTCAGTGCTACAGTTCGGAAGCCTGCAGCCAGGAAGCCAGCAGATCTCCTGAATTAACTCACTCTGCTCATTTCTTAGGAGCAGCCTTTGACTGGACACAGGCACAGGAAGATAATTGGGTTGACTTGGCCTTGTCTCAGTGAATTGGAAATTCACCTAATGGGAAATGCCCGTCATGCTGCAATCAAAACCCTTGTTTACACTTATATGTGAATGAAAATGAAGACACTTTTTCTTTGTGCAGGATTCACCCAGGACATCAATACCCGCCGTGCTTGTCGTCGTGCTCGAGGCATCTGCCGCCGTACATGTCCGTCCAATTTCGGACGAATCGGAAGGTGTGGTTTTCGGCAGAGTTGCTGTAAAAGGACATGGGTAAGTTCAGGATGCCACAGGGGAGACATTACTGTGTAAACAGAATATTTGTGTCTCTAATTTCTATAGCTGTTGTTTAGTGTCCTTGGAGGCTCAGAGCACATGGCACAACCCTGACATGGGACAAAGGAAAATTCTGTGCTGCCCTGATTCTGGACTATCTGGGGTTTACATGTTAGAGTGAGAGTAATTGTATAGCTGCTTTACTCAGGCTGCCTATGCTCTGTCCACAATCCAGAGCAGCCCAGAGTCTCCACAGTGCTCAGTGCTACATGTGAGCCATGTATTCCTCATGTATTGCAGTTACTCTCCACCACCCATTTTGAAGCCCCTCTGGCTTGCCAACATGGCAGCATACAGACAATGTCTGTGGCCAGTCTGGGGTCCGTTTACGTCATTGTTTCATTTAGGAATATGGAAAACAACGGGGAAGGACTAAAGTATATTTCCCAGGAGAGAGTATGGGGGATGTGTTTCCTTTGTATCATTGTGCAGCACTTATTAGACCAAAATGGCTGCTCTTTACAACAGTACAACAATTACAACAATAATGCTTAATTTACCAAAAAGAAACATGTACAAGTATGGAGCTATGTTTAAGGGTGTGTATGTTGTATCCCAGTATAAAATGATCAAATCTGTCACAGAAAAATTAGAATAACCAGCAACACGGCTTCTGATTGACACTTATACTTTTAAGCCTTTCAAAAATGTTATGTCACTCTTTCAGTCATTGACAGAAGGATCCTAATTTCAATAACTACCCGAGGACACATTGAAGCATGGAATTTTCATGGTAGTGTTCACCATAATGAAAGCTGCCATTCTCATTCCATTATAATGTCTTCTTCTTACATACTTGTCCTTTTCTGGAAAGGTCTCCTTTGTGGATATCATTTCTCAATTTGAAAGGCCTCCTGTTCTCGGACTGAGGGGAGTTGGTAGGACCTGCTGTGAGTCTCTCTGGCAAGAAAGAGAGCAGGGAGGCTGAGTTGACAAAAAGAAATGGCTTAAAAATGAAGCCTGTAAAAGCAAACTGAGATAAGCTTAGAGACGAGCTGAGCAGAGGAGAATTGGGAGCCCTACGTGGAAGCAGCCGAGGGGAAGAAATGGTCACTCAGGCCCCGAGGAAGCATCTCTAGCCCAGAGGGTTTTGTGTTTTTATTTGTAATGTTATTTTGCCCCAGGTCGGGGAGATTTTGGTTCAGTGTGGGCGGGGGGGGGGGGGAGAGGGAGGGGTGCTAAACCACCAACCCAACAGGAGAAACGGAGACACTGGCCAAGTCTGACTATGAGAAGGTAAGCTGCACCCACATAGTATGGATATAATCATGATTTTCCCATAGAAAAAAAGGTATTTTTAAATCATTCCACTCAAAAATGGAAGAACAATTAAACTCAAGTTGTGACCTGGACCTCACTGCACAGTCCATCCAGAATGACACAGTGTGAAAAACTGGAAATGAAAACAGTGATGAACATATGAGGATTTCAGACAACCAGGTGCTTTGCAGCATTCTTGGACCTGTGTTAAAGAACATCTGGGTCCAGATGCTGCAAACATGAGGAGCCGTGTTGAGGATAAAATTGCTCCTGTGGGTTTTTGTGGGAAAGAGGCACTTTTGACCCTACGTGGGAAGGCTGTCCTGCCCTATGGGACCAGTACTCTGTGGTTTGAACCAGAACCCTCCAGAACTAAATGCTCAAGTGCCTTCAGATTGAACAAAA